ATATGTAATTTGTATATATATATGCTTATATATTTAAGTTCTATGTACATGTATTTTATGTATGTATCACTTCGAACGAAAATTTCACTTGCATTTACATTGTACATATAACTAGTGTGTTAAAACACTCGATTTTTCACCAACACACATGCGTGTTTATTCAATAAGGCACTTAAACTTTGCATCTGTGCATCCACTGATATTTATTTTACAGCGATATCGTAGTGGTAAGTGTCGAGCGAGGGAGTGTCATCGTAAACACCGAGTTGTCTCTTGTGGCTGTAGATCGTCTCAACGAAAAGTTCTTGGCCTCTGCCACACGTCCTGTGCAAGGCGTCACCATGGTTACGGTTGCTAAAGACGACCCGGTTACTACGGGAGAGGAGACATATGAGTCTCAAGGGTATGACTTATGAGTTTATTTACTTTCGAACGTTATCAAACTGGCGTATCGCTCATTCAGCACATCTATACTATACTCTACCAGCATATCTTTAAGTATGATCGGATAGTTTTACAACCGAGTCTGTACAATATACTATACTCTACCCGCAAGTATGATCGGATAGTTTTATAACCGTCTCTCCCGATAGTTGTAACTTGAATGTACTGAATTTATCTCCGGGGAGATTGATTCCTGTAGCCGTAGCGCCGTACTTATATACTACGTGTGGTTGTGCTGTACATCATTTGAGCAGTCTGTTGGTGTGGGTCTCCACTGTGGCCATACCCATGGTGGTTTCTATTCAATGACTGCCAATGAGCAAAAGGTTGCCTGTTATGCTTTCATAACACTCAAAGTTCACAGTGATCACTATACTGCGAGAGATATGGCTGCACCGGTTAACCTTTGGGAACACACAGATACAAACACTGGCCCATTCGCCGAGATGTATAGAAAACACAGCCACATCACACTTCTACTATACACGTACCCAATATGTATAACCATCCTATTGGTTGAAGTATAAACATTGCACTAGTTTTAATGATCGCCCTAACCTAGCAACACTCATTATATGTTATCTTCTTATATCGCGTGTTATATGCAGGAACCTATCGGCGGGAGTGATAGTTCTGATTGTGGTCGTGGTGTCGGTCATTATTGGGGCGGTTGTGGCATTCCTAGTGTATAGACATGTCAGGCGACGACGCCAACGCCAGAAGAAGGACCGCATTCATCCCTTATTTAACCTGCCGCCGACGCTACTGAGACGTATGTTGTTCGCTTACGACATATAGTACGTAAACTTCTACATACG